GTTGTCGATGAGTATTTCACCTTGTGTTGTACCACTACGACGAGACCATCTTACAACTCGTGTATTCCCTCGATCGCAAATAATGAGACTATCCGTCTCTTTGTCAATTAAGACATCTCGTGGACCATTCAATTGATGTAATCCATTTCCTTCGCCATTACCACCAGCAACAACTTGTCCATTCGTTGTATCACCATTCTTCCATTGCATGATACGATCATTCCTGAAGTCAGCAATAACCACTGTTTGATCATCATCAACGAAGAGACCATGAGGGTAGTTGAGTTGATTAGTAGCACCCCCTTCCCCGTGACCTCCAGCAATAGTCACACCGTTCTGTGCCCATGTGGCATTAACAGGAATATTAACTATACAAGAGAAAACATATAAGAATAAAAGGAGATCTTTCTCTCGCTCTTTATCGCGTTGAAGTGATAGTATATTATTAGAAAAGAACTACTCCTTCTTTCCCTCGAGTATGTATATGAAATAATTTCGAAAGTATCAAATTCCTTTGAATAAATCATCTTTTCTGAGGAATTCCACAGAAAAAAAATTGTTTTTTGTTCTATATACATATTGAAAGATTATTTTATAGAAATGAAAAGTTCTCTGTGTTATTAAAGGTGATAATTATAAGGAGAAAACTCAAGATAAAAATGAATGTAAAAGTTATTATGTGTGATCACAGATATCGCATATTCTCTATCAAGCGTATTTTAATTCTATATTTTACAGAAACATATTAATCTTAAATATGCTTTTTTTTCTCTTTACAATTACATCATTAACATCTATATGTTTAAAAGTTTTTGGTTGTAAGGACATTCATCGAATTTTCAATGTTAAGAAAATATTTGATTTTCAGAAAAAGTTGAAAATCAAGATAAATTCTACAGAAAGAAAGTAAGAAAATTGCTATAGAATATTTTATGGGTTATTTTGTATACGCTCCATATTATATCAATATAACGGGTGTCCCATAAAGAATTGCGCTGTTAGTATTTTTGAAATTTCTCCTCTATTATCCTTGTGATTAAAGACCTTCTTTTATCAAAAGATAGCGCTTGAAATTCTCTACGAAACCATATATGAATGGATCCAAAACTGTATGAGATGTATTAGAAAAAAGATGAAAAGTAAAGACATACAAAAAGTTGTAAAAAGTAACGGGTTGGACATAATGAACGGCCGCACTTTGCATCTCATCGTTTCATCACTTACTTCGTCCTATTAGAAAAACAGAACATACCAAAAGATACAGCGTGCAAAGCTCTACAATTTACGTAAGGCCGCTTATTTTATAGTTGCACTTTTTGTTTTGAAAATAGATAAAATTTCGACCATGCGAAATAGTATACATTTTTACTACAAGATGAATTGGTTTTTTTCTTCTTAACTCTTTTTATTATTTGTTCTTTGTAAATTGTAGAGCTTTTCACGCTGCATCTATTGGTATATGTTGTTTTTCTAATAGCGCGAAGTAAGTGATAAAAAAATGGGATACAAAGCAAGGCCATTCATTATGCCCAACCAATTACTTATTTTTTACAGCTTTTTATATGCCGTTACTTTTCATCATTTTTCAAATATATCTAAAACAATTTTTTAGGCCTAGTCATAGTTTTGTAGAGAATTTCAAGCGCTATCTTTTGATAAAAAAAGTGTCTCCATCATGGGGATAATAGAGGAGAAACTTCAAAAATACTAACAGCGCAATTCTTTATGGGACACTCGTTACTTCATTATATGATATGAAAATCAAATTCTATCTTCTAACTATAGAAAATAGAACATTTCTTATTTCTATGTTCTAGAATATCTTTCATTATATACTCTAGATAAATTATTCTGTGTGAAATTAGCAAGAATATTAACTATAGAAGAGAAAACGTATTTGAATAAACTGAGAACTACTCTCTCTCTCTTTCTCTCTTTATCGAGTATAGATAGTATCGAGTAAAATTCCTTGGAATAGATCATTTTTCTGAGAAATTCCCCAGAACAAGGTTTTTTCTATACTGGAAGATTATTCTATTGAAAGAAAATTCTCTTATTAACTGGCATCGCACCGGCTCTCTCAAAAAATATAGGAATTCCTATATAGGATAGGTCTAAAATATATAGGATCGCCCTCAACTATATAGGA